CTCTCTCTCTCTGTGTGTGTGTGTGTGTGTGTGTGTGTGTGTGTGTGTGTCTGTGGACACTCCTCTGTTATCCGTGCTGTCCTGGCTGCTGGTGTCACCCGGATGTATCGGCTCCTGTGTGACTGCAGTGTTACGTCTTGTTCTGCCTTTTGAAGGGTCAGTGTTAGATCTTGTTCTGCCTTTTGAACAGTCTTCTTAAGTGTGCTGGAGTGAACCCCTTGTTGTCCTTCACTAGCTGCCTAGCCATCGATATCCCCTTGACAGACTGCAGAGCAGAATCTAACTTCATCGGTGAAGGGGACCCAAGTGGTTGGCGTGATCTCTTTACGAAGAACCCTCATAAATGCATAGATGACAGGGCCTACTCTCACCTCTAATTTGGGAGTCTGTAGGATCATATCAAACTCTTGGACCATATGTTGGGTGTTGCCGTGGTACGTCTGCTTGCACAGCTCATTATAACAAGCCCATGAATGATCTTGACCGGTAACCATCTTGTACCTCTCTCGCAGTTTCATAGAAAACTACAACCAACAGGTGTGTTTGGCATACTCCACCACATCTCCTCTTTGCAATCCCCAGTACGAAGAATGTGGTGTATAGTGGACTCGTCCATTTACAGCCCACAACCAGCAGTCAGCATCCCCATCTCTCTCGGCCTTGGATTTGGGCGACGAGTCCAACCGTGGCTTGGAGGACTTGTCTGCCTCCATTGAAACAGTGTGTGTCTTCTTGGGAGATGGAGGCAGTGTACTATGTGGGGAGCTTGGCTTGGCTTTCAATGCAGCTGTAAAAGTTCTCAACACATCCTCAATAGAGTCCATGTTGTCCTTCAGGCCAGCCAACTCGTCTGCTTGAACGTACTACACGGTTGAGAGGGTGGCCAACCTATCGCTGACACCAGTGCTTGACTAGTCAGCAACCCTCTCTATGTGAACAATATAATTTTTCCTCTGCCCCTTCTCCCACATCTCTTCTACCTCAACATCACCCTTCTCTTCTCCAGAGCATCAATCTCGTCCTTGCTGTTCGTTGTCATCTGGGGGCTCTTCTTAGTGATTTTCAGGGGTCGGTAACTGCGGGTGCACGTGAAACTTCCTCCACCTAGCCTGCGCACATGTGAGCACATTCTTTCACCGCCTCTTCCCCTTTTTGTTAAAGTAATTGCAGAGATCCGGATTCAAGGTCGCATACGTTAATTATTCCCCTAATGCTTCCCTCTGCTATGGCCGAGGGATACACAGTGGCATTGATTGCTTCCTAGCAAGGAAGGATTTAACCCTGCTCCATCCCTGTTCCTCTCTAAACCCTTACTACTCGTTGGTCTCGAGAAGCCTGCCTCTCTATGTGATGCTCCTGTTATCCCTACCCGTCTGTCTGATTTCTTAAAGCTGCGGGAGCCCTAGCCCTGGTGCCCGTTAACCCATCACATTCCTTCACTTACTAGGGATAGGCGATTGTGTGCTGCTGTTTATCGTCATCTTGGAGCTCTTCTTAGTGACCCTCTTCTTCTTTTCAGCAGTTGGTAACTGCAGCTGCACGTGGAACTTCCTCCTACCTATCCTGCGCACATGTGAGCACATTCTTTCTTCACCTCTTCCCCTTTTTGTTAAATGCACGTAAATTAACTGCAGAGAACCGGATTCAAGGTCACTTACGTTAATTATTCCCCTAATGCTTCCCTCTGCTATGGCCGAGGGATAGACAAGGAAGGATTTACCCCTGCTCCATCCCTGTTCCTCTCTAGACCCTTACTACTCGTTGGTCTCGTGAAGCCTGCCTCTCTATGTGATGCTCCTGTCATCTATACCCGGCTGTCTGATTTCTTAAAGCTGCTACGAATGACCAGTTCGGGAGCCCTAGCCCTGGTGCCCGTTAACCCATTACATTCCTTCTCTTACTGGGGATAGGCGATCGTGTGCAGGGAACTTATCTAAAGCCTCTGTTCTATCTTTCTTTGTCCTGTATGATGTCGCCTTGTCTAATAGGCAATCTATGAAAGAACCAATGCCAGATCATATTGGTTCTCTTTCTTTGCAATCCCTTTTCCTGTTACCTAAGCCATTGTCGCACGTTGACTATTTCATTCTTCTCCTACTATCGCTTCACTTCAACTTACCCGTTTCTCTCACTTTCAGATATGCATAAAATCTTCTTGGGAGTCTGTGTCGAACAAGTTGCAACATGAAGTAGGTAGTTGATAGCGGGGGTGGGTGCTGACGCATCAGTTGCTGGTGTGACACTTAAACCACCAGTACTTAGTCCAGCTATCAGCAGCAGAAAAAAAAAGAGTAGAAACGTTTCTAGTCGGATGACTTTGGGCGCTCCTGTAGTGGCCCGTATACAAGCCACGACTTTAGGAAGTACTGGTGGATTAAGCTGGCATGGTGGCTTGGAGGACCCAATTCAATGGGCCGATGCTTCACTCACCAACAGCTGGAGAGTCACCCAACATACTTCATGAAAACAAGAAACATTCACATCCACTTAGGTGCCTGCCTGCCCCCAGACTCTCTCCTTGAGGTCCGAAAAATAGCGACGCAAAATCTTACAAATGAAAACAAGAGTGAAAACTACCACTAGCTCTTATCTTTCGCCACAGTGTTTTTGCCTAGGATTATCGGGTCCTCACCAGCTCCTAGCCGAGAAAAATCTACACGAGTCTACGCCCGAACAGAGTCTCTACTATTAGGTTCCACGACCAAATTTGGCCAGCACCTGCGTAGCACGACAAACGTGTTTGCGCCCCTTCGCGTTCATGCAAACGAGTTTGCACGTTTGCACGAACAGCTCACGAACGTGTTCGGGTTCGCCTCCAAACGCGAACACGTTTGCCTCCGAATGCGAACACGATGCTATGCAGGCCAGCACCAAACATGAAAAACAGCAAAACTAGAAAAAACTCATACTTAGCTCTCATATTTGGGCCAGGTCTCGGGTTCAAGTCCCGCCTGAGCCCAACACTCCCTATCCTTTTCTGTGCCATCATGATTGGAGCTTTCTTGACTCAATCCTGTCGAGGTACACGTTTGTGCCCTGATGTTCTCTGCCTTAACCGTACTGGACAGTACTGCGGCATCGACTTGCCGGAAAATCCCTACTTGTACACAAAAGAGCTTACTGTGTACTCGCCCATAGACATCGGGTTGCCTTAATCCCTGTCCAGAACATTGCAGAGCTCGAACTCGAAGCGAAGTAATCGCAGTGGTCCCAGAAGTTAAACAAGTAGACCTTACGACCGATAACGATGTCAAGTTCAGATACGAACTAGGGGTCAAGACGGACAACTCCAATCCAAAGATTAACAAGAGAATCTGATGGAAAAGAGTACTTAACCTGGATCCAGGTTTCAAAATCGTGATCCCGTGGGCAAAATATCTGATGATTAAACCTACAAAAAATGGCCGCTTGTAGTGGTCGATTATCTATGCTGCGCTGGCAGTCAACCAATGGTTACATGCAAAAAGGGAAGCGCTCATCCCCTAACAGCACCGATATTTCTGCGACTGTACAAACAACATCCTAGAAGGCGTGATTCACTGCCCGCTAACATGCACTGAAGCGACCCGGATTTGGGATAGAGTCAAGGAATTGTGGGCTCCCCTCTTTGTCTCTCCTCTTTCTACCACCTCCCTGCATACCTCTATCTATCGACCTCCCAAAACCCCTGAACGACGAAAAGAAGAGCTGGTTCCTTGCACTGAGGAAATTGGCATTATCGACCATGTGGACAAAAAGATGTGCTCAGACCATCAAGAAAGCCTCAGCATTGATCAATCCAACAAATTAGAATTGACAGTAGATGCAAAGTGAGTGGCTTGCCGCTTTCTTTCTTTCTTTCTTTCTTTCTTTCTTTCTTTCTTTCTTTCTTTCTTTCTTTCTTTCTTTCTTTCTCATTAATGAAACAAGTGAGATGTGTTGCGTAAAGTCTCAGAGCCTGACGATCCCAAACAGCTCGGCGGTCGCTGGCTAGGGCGAGCGGCTGTACTTTTTTGTGGTTTCCTGCTGATCAAACATTGCTTATACAATTTTCACTGGTTCGGAGCAAGCACTTAAAAACCAAGTACAAATAACAAAAAACAGACAGCCAGGGAAGAAGGCTGGTCATCGCTTCAGAATGGTGGAAACCAGAATCCGATACAGGTGGAGCTCAATCAAACATGTAGTACCAAAGCAGATAAATTCTTAGCCAATAAGAGAGCTTCTACAAGGAGAGGTTGCGGCGGGGCTACATCGCCGACGAGGAATGACAGCAGACAAACTGGGAGGTGCACTACGTCCGGCCAATTCTGAAGGCTGCATTCCGCTAAGGAAACCTCTGGGACTAGTTGGGAGTCAACCTGCTAACTCAAAATCAATCAATCAATCAATCAATCAATCACTCTCTCTCTCTCTCTCTCTCTCTCTCTCTCTCTCTCTCTCTCTCTCTCTCTCTCTCTCTCTCTCTCTCTCTCT